CACAAATCTTCTCAATATTTCTAATGTTTTCTTCACTGTAGAGGGTAATTGAAAAATTAACTCTACAAAATTAATTTTTTTTATTTTTTTTTTATTTTTTTATTTTATTACCCTCTTCACTGTAGAGGGTAATTGAAAAATTAACTCTACAAAATTAATTTTTTAAACTTTTATTTTTGGTCTGACGCCTAAAAGCATTTCGTATGGCTTCTAACATTTTCAAAGACAGGTTTTCACATAACATACATCATGCTTATATTTGTTTTGGGTGAGGTGATATGATACAAATGTGTTGGGTGGGGTGAGTATAAATTGGGTATGAAAACATAAGAATGGAAGTAACTACAGAAGGCATATTGGCCCATACTTTCTCTTGCTGCTTCTTTGTTGGTTCGGGGTCTTGAAATGGGTAGAATATAGTTGTGCATTAATTGGCTGTTGATTGACGGTGATGACTTTTTGATATGTAGTGCCTCGCTGATGTCGAGTCTCCTGTTCTCGCTGGAGACGATATATATATATATATATATATATATATATATATATATATATATATATATATATATATATATATATATATAAATATATATATATATATGTCGTACCTAATAGCCAGAACGCACTTCTCAGCCTACTATGCAAGGCCCGATTTGCCTAATAAGCCAAGTTTTCATGAAATAATATATTTTCTCTAATTTTTTGCTTATGAAATGATAAAGCTACCCATTTCATTATGTATGAGGTCAATTTTTTTTATTGGAGTTAAAATTGACGTAAATATATGACCGAATGTAACCAACCCTACCTAACCTAACCTAACCTATCTTTATAGGTTAGGTTAGGTTAGGTAGCCGAAAAAGTAAGGTTAGGTTAGGTTAGGTAGGTTAGGTAGTCGAAAAACAATTAATTCATGAAAACTTCGATTATTAGGCAAATTGGGCCTTGCGTAGTAGGCTGAGAAGTGCGTTCTGGCTATTAGGTACGACATATATATATATATATATATATATATATATATATATATATATATATATATATATATATATGTCGTACCTAGTAGCCAGAACGCACTTCTCGGCCAACTATGCAAGGCCCAATTTGCCTAATAAGCCAAGTTTTCGTGAATTAATTGTTTTTCGACTACCTAACCGACCTAACCTAACCTAACCTAACTTTTTCTGCTACCTAACCTAACCTAACCTATAGAGAATGGTTAGGTAAGGTTAGGTGGCGTTGGTTAGGTTCGGTCATATATCTACGTTAATTTTAACTCCAATAAAAAAAATTGACATCATACATAATGAAATGGGTAGCTTTATCATTTCATAAGAAAAAAATTAGAGAAAATGTATTAATTCAGGAAAACTTGGCTTATTAGACAAATCAGGCATTGCATAGTAGGCTGAGAAGTGCGTTCTGGCTACTAGGTACGACATATATATATATATATATATATATATATATATATATATATATATATATATATATATATATATATATATATATATATATATATATATATATATATATATATATATATATATATAATATATATATATATATATATATATATATATATATATATATATATATATATATATATATATATATATATATATATATATATATATATATATATATATATATGCGAACAAGCCTGAATGGTCCCCAGGACAATATGCAACTGAAAACTCACACCCCAGAAGTGACTCGAACCCATACTCCCAGGAGCAACGCAACTGGTATGTACAAGACGCCTTAATCCACTTGACCATCACGACCGGACATAATGAGGTGATAGCCGAGGCTATTTGAACCACCCCACCGCCGGCACTCAGATAGTAATCTTGGGCATAGCATTTTACCAAATCACCTCATTCTTTGGGGCACACGTGAGGAACACAAATGCGAACAAGCCTGAATGGTCCCCAGGACAATATGCAACTGAAAACTCACACCCCAGAAGTGACTCGAACCCATACTCCCAGGAGCAACGCAACTGGTATGTACAAGACGCCTTAATCCACTTGACCATCACGACCGGACATAATGAGGTGATAGCCGAGGCTATTTGAACCACCCCACCGCCGGCACTCGGATAGTAATCTTGGGCATAGCATTTTACCAAATCACCTCATTCTTTGGGGCACACGTGAGGAACACAAATACGAACAAGCCTGAATGGTCCCCAGGACAATATGCAACTGAAAACTCACACCCCAGAAGTGACTCGAACCCATACTCCCAGGAGCAACGCAACTGGTATGTACACGACGCCTTAATCCACTTGACCATCACGACCGGACATAATGAGGTGATAGCCGAGGCTATTTGAACCACCCCACCGCCGGCACTCGGATAGTAATCTTGGGCATAGCATTTTACCAAATCACCTCATTCTTTGGGGCACACGTGAGGAACACAAATGCGAACAAGCCTGAATGGTCCCCAGGACAATATGCAACTGAAAACTCACACCCCAGAAGTGACTCGAACCCATACTCCCAGGAGCAACGCAACTGGTATGTACAAGACGCCTTAATCCACTTGACCATCACGACCGGACAAAATGAGGTGATAGCCGAGGCTATTTGAACCACCCCACCGCCGGCACTCGGATAGTAATCTTGGGCATAGCATTTTAATAAATCACCTCATTCTTTGGGGCACACGTGAGGAACACAAATGCAAACAAGCCTGAATGGTCCCCAGGACAATATGCAACTGAAAACTCACACCCCAGAAGTGACTCGAACCCATACTCCCAGGAGCAACGCAACTGGTATGTACAAGACGCCTTAATCCACTTGACCATCACGACCGGACATAATGAGGTGATAGCCGAGGCTATTTGAACCACCCCACTGCCGGCACTCGGATAGTAATCTTGGGCATAGCATTTTACCAAATCACCTCATTCTTTGGGGCACACGTGAGGAACACAAATGCGAACAAGCCTGAATGGTCCCCAGGACAATATGCAACTGAAAACTCACACCCCAGAAGTGACTCGAACCCATACTCCCAGGAGCAACGCAACTGGTATGTACAAGACGCCTTAATCCACTTGACCATCATGACCGGACATAATGAGGTGATAGCCGAGGCTATTTGAACCACCCCACCGCCGGCACTCGGATAGTAATCTTGGGCATAGCATTTTACCAAATCACCTCTTTCTTTGGGGCACACGTAAGGAACACAAATGCGAACAAGCCTGAATGGTCCCCAGGACAATATGCAACTGAAAACTCACACCCCAGAAGTGACTCGAACCCATACTCCCAGGAGCAACGCAACTGGTATGTACAAGACGCCTTAATCCACTTGACCATCACGACCGGACATAATGAGGTGATAGCCGAGGCTATTTGAACCACCCCACCGCCGGCACTCGGATAGTAATCTTGGGCATAGCATTTTACCAAATTACCTCATTCTTTGGGGCACACGTGAGGAACACAAATGCGAACAAGCCTGAATGGTCCCCAGGACAATATGCAACTGAAAACTCACACCCCAGAAGTGACAGCTGATGCAGGCACTGATGGTGTGATGATAAGCTGGTGCAGGCACGGATGGTGTGATGTGGCAGCTGATGCAGTCCCTGATGGTGTGATGTGACAGCTGATGCAGGCACTGATGGTGTGATGTGGCAGCTGATGCAGTCCCTGATGGTGTGATGTGACAGCTGGTGCAGGCACTGATGGTGTGATGTGGCAGCTGGTGCAGGCACTGATGGTGTGATGTGGCAGCTGGTGCAGACACTGATGGTGTGATGTGTCAGGTGGTGCAGGCACTAGTGTGATGTGACAGCTGGTGCAGGCACTGATTGTGTAATGCATCAGGTGGTGCAGGCACTGATGGTGTAATGTGTCAGGTGGTGCAGGAACTGATGGTGTAATGTGTCAGGTGGTGCAGGCACTGATGGTGTAATGTGTCAGGTGGTGCAGGCACTGATAGTGTAATGTGTCAGGTGGTGCAGGCACTGATGGAGTAATGTGTCAGGTGGTGCAGGCACTGATAGTGTAATGTGTCAGGTGGTGCAGGCACTGATAGTGTAATGTGTCCGGTGGTGCAGGCACTGATAGTGTAATGTGTCAGGTGGTACAGGCACTGATGGTGTAATGTGTCAGGTGGTGCAGGAACTGATGGTGTAATGTGTCAGGTGGTGCAGGCACTGATGGTGTAATGTGTCAGGTGGTGCAGGAACTGATGGTGTAATGTGTCAGGTGGTGCAGGCACTGATGGTGTAATGTGTCAGGTGGTGCAGGAACTGATGGTGTAATGTGTCAGGTGGTGCAGGCACTGATGGTGTAATGTGTCAGGTGGTGCAGGCACTGATAGTGTAATGTGTCAGGTGGTGCAGGCACTGATGGAGTAATGTGTCAGGTGGTGCAGGCACTGATAGTGTAATGTGTCAGGTGGTGCAGGCACTGACGGTGTAATGTATCAGGTGGTGCAGGAACTGATTGTGTAATGTGTCAGGTGGTGCAGTCACTGATGGTGTAATGTGTCAGGTGGTGCAGGCACTGACGGTGTAATGTATCAGGTGGTGCAGGAACTGATTGTGTAATGTGTCAGGTGGTGCAGGCACTGATTGTGTAATGTGTCAGGTGGTGCAGGCACTGATTGTGTAATGTGTCAGGTGGTGCAGGCACTGATTGTGTAATGTATCAGGTGGTGCAGGAACTGATTGTGTAATGTGTCAGGTGGTGCAGGCACTGATGGTGTAATGTATCAGGTGGTGCAGGAACTGATTGTGTAATGTGTCAGGTGGTGCAGGCACTGATGGTGTAATGTGTCAGGTGGTGCAGGCACTGATGGTGTAATGTGTCAGGTGGTGCAGGCACAGATTGTGTAATGTGTCAGGTGGTGCAGGCACTGATTGTGTAATGTGTCAGGTGGTGCAGGCACTGATTGTGTAATGTGTCAGGTGGTGCAGGGACTGATGGTGTAGAAGTTGGAGAGGGTTCTGAGTGTGTAATGTTCTTCTGCAGATTGTGTACGTGTGCCGGGATCCACGTGATGCCTGTGTCTCCTTTTATTTCCACTCCGTCAGGCATCAAGGTTTCCATGGAACAATCAACCAGTTTGTCGACATATTTCTCGACGATAAAAGTAAGAAGTCGCCTGTTATTGCTATTATATGAGTCTTATAGGGTTTTATTTAATCTGTGATATGAAATGTATTACAGCTCTCCTGCATTCATATTAAATATGTTGTATATGGTTGACTTCTTGGCATAAAATTTAGTAACAATTGTTTTTTGGTTATCGTGTTACTTTTTTTTCTGGGGTTTAATCTCTGTTGTAACCCAAATAATGCTCTTATGTTAGAATCACAAATTATAAATTATGTATATATATATATATATATATATATATATATATATATATATATATATATATATATATATATATATATATATATATATATATATATATATATATATATATATATATTCGAGTTTTTTATACCTACATTTGGGGGAGGTGACATGTTACAATAGTTTTGGATGAGGTGAAAATAAACTTTTAACACAAGACAGGACACGAAACAATGGGTATTAAAGATAGGTCTCTGCAGAAGGCCTATTTTTATTGGCCCATATTTCTTGATGCTTCTATATTGGAGCGGAGTCTTGAAGTGGGTTGAATATTGTTGTGCATTAATTGGCTATTGATTGCTGGTGTTGACTTCTTGATGTGTAGTGCCTCGCAGACGTCGAGCCGCCTGCTATCGCTGTATCTATCGATGATTTCTGTGTTTTTGCTAAGATTTCTCTGGTGATGGTTTGGTTGTGGGAAGAGATTATATGTTCCTTAATGGAGCCCTGTTGCTTATGCATCGTTAAACGCCTGGAAAGTGATGTTGTTGTCTTGCCTATGTACTGAGTTTTTTGAGGCTTACAATCCCCAAGAGGGCATTTGAAGGCATAGACGACGTTGGTCTCTTTTAAAACGTTCTGCTTTGTGTCAGGAGAGTTTCTCATGAGTAGGCTGGCCGTTTTTTTGGTTTTATAGTAAATTGTCAGTTGTATCTTCTGATTTTTGTCTGTAGGGATAACGTTTCTACTAACAATATCTTTCAGGACCCTTTCTTCCTTTTTATGAGCTGTGGAAAAGAAGCTCCTGTAAAATAGTCTAATAGGGGGTACAGGTGTTGTGTTAGATGTCTCTTCAGAGGATGCGTGGCGTTTCACCTTCCTTCTTATGATGTCTTCAACGAAACCATTAGAGAAGCCGTTGTTGACTAGGACCTGCCTTACCCTACAGAGTTCTTCATCGACTTGCTTCCATCCTGAGCTGTGGCTGAGAGCACGGTCGACATAAGCATTAACGACACTCCTCTTGTACCTGTCTGGGCAGTCGCTGTTGGCATTGAATCACATTTCTATGTTTGTTTCCTTAGTGTAGACTGCAGTGTGGAAACCTCCGCTCCTTTCTATGACTGTTACATCTAGAAAGGGCAGCTTCCCATCCTTCTCCATCTCGTAAGTGAAACGCAACACAGAATTCCACTCAGATGCCTCCTTCAGCTTCTGCAGATGTCTGACATCAGGTACCTGTGTAAAAATGTCGTCAACATATCTGCAGTATATGGCCGGTTTCAAGTTCATGTCGACTGAGACCTTTTGTTCGATGGTACCCATGTAGAAGTTCGCAAACAGGACACCTAGGGAAGAACCCATGGCGACCCCATCTACTTGCTTATACATGTGCCCATCCGGGCTCAAGAAGGGTTCCTCTTAAGTACAAGCTTGGAGTAGTTTCCTTAGAATGTTTTCTTGTATGTCAAGAGGAGTACAGGCCGGATCATGATACACTCTGTCCGCTATCATCCCGATTGTTTCATCCACAGGTACGTTAGTGAACAGTGATTCTACGTCCAACGAGGCTCTTATCCCTGTGGCCTGTGTTCCCCTCAGTAAGTCAACAAATTCCTTTGGAGACTTCAGGCTGAAGGTGCAAGGGACATAAGGAGTCAGCAAGCCGTTGAGTTGCTTCGTCAGTCTGTACGTGGGTGTGGGTATCTGGCTAATGATTGGCCAAAGTGGGTTTCCAGGCTTATGTGTCTTGATATTTCCATACGCGTACCCAGGCTTATATTCCCCAATAATCTTTGGCAGGTGGAGTCCGGATTTCTTGGCGTTCACAGTTTCGATCAATTTGTTGACCTTTGCCTTCAGTTCGGCTATAGTGTCCTTCGTTACCCTTTGGAGACCCATTCGGTGTGAGATGCGTGCCAGTTGATGACATTGGGGTTGCTAATAGGAAGTCACCTGCATGTAGAGCATCTAGGATTTCCTTCACCAGGTTGTCAGATGCCACTGAAAAGGACAGAAACGCTGGAACAGCAATTTGAGTTGGTGTGCGAATGCCGAGGGCCCCAAGTCTGACAGGAAGAGAGGCCTGTTTCTACTGTGAATCGATGGTCTGGTTGTGTGAGGATATTATATGCTCCTTGTCGGAGCCCTGTTGTATATTCATTGTTAGTCGCCTAGAAAGAGACATTGTCTTGCCTATATACTGAGATCTTCGAGGCTGACAGTCCCCAAGTGGGCATGTGAAGGTATAGATGACGTTGGTTTCTTTCAAGGCGTTCTGTTTGGTGTCTGGAGAGTTCTTCATGAACTCTCATGTTCCTCATGAATTCAGTGCCATGTCTCGATTTGTTATTAACCTTATTGATCCTAAATATGACAATGTACATTCCCTCAACAAGTGATATTTTGTTATTTCAATAGTCAGTGAGAGGCCTAGGTAGATGGCGAGAAATATGGCCTAGACAGGAGAGAGGAGACAGCGGATGTGTGGACAGTGCGGGAGGAATCTGGGGAAGAGCATGTAAGGAAAGTGAGGGAGAAGATTGGAGGAAAGAGTGTGCATGCAGGGGGGAAAGGAGATGTGGGAAGGAGCAGAAAGTGATTTAGTAAGGGCAAGTGTGGAAGGAGAGGAACAAAATCCCATTGATCACAGAGCTCATGCAACAAAGATTTGACTTAAATAGGACTCTAAATTCCTTTAGTAAGACATATATTTGTGACACGAGATTCCTAATGATTCAAAATATACTGACGGGGTTTTCCTGTTTTCTCCGCTGGCTAGTTGTTTAATTTTTTCCTGTAGACCTGTAAAACCATTTAGCAGTACCCATTCTTAAGATGTATTTCCTAACAACCAAGTTGATATTTCAGGTAAGGTTGGAGTGCTTCAAAAAAAGACCTGACTTAGTTTATTGGATGGGTATTACCCTAGTAGACAAATGAACAGTAGACCCGAGGCCAAGTTTGAGATTTCAATGAGTGCAAAAATTGCTTTAAAATATGCCTTGAACATTTCTTCTATTTGCAATAGAGATTAATAATGTCTTCTTTTTGTACGTTTCATTGTTAGTGTCCATTTAACTTTTACATTGTTAAATAACCTTACTTTCGACCTATCATTCTAATAACCAAATTTGTTCACTATCTCCCAAATGATCCACTATCTGTCATCCAGAGATGGCAGTCGCACATTATCTAGAATGCTAAGAAATAGTATGATTGCCTGTCATCGTGAAAGACATTAATAAATCTGAAATCACTCGTGAATGTTTTTATATTTTTTGGGGGGTATGTTCTATTTCAATCACGAACATCTACTTGTTGTGAGCACAGTTGGCACTGTATTGGTTGGGAATATCTCCGACCATGATTTAAATTAAAATATTTTTATTTAATTTCACATCATTATGAGTTTCGTTTTGCATATGTACGTAACATATCTAATCTGACGTTCAAACACCACTTCTAAGAAAATAATGTTTAGCAGAAAACAAATTACTGTGAAACATTCGCACTCACACATGTAAATAATAAACAAGACTTTAATTTAACGTTTAGGTAAAAAAAAAGATGCCGAGTATTTAATGAGAGGAAGGTAGTGAAACAGGAATGTTGTGATATGTTCTGGTGACTCACTGCTAACTCTTTCCTGGCCGCAGTGTATTACTCTCCCTACTGGCGTCACGTCCTTAACTTTTGGAAGATGAGACACGAAGAACATATTCTGTTCCTCCGCTACGAAGACATGAAAAAGGTAACGATACCCTGTTCTTATAATTAAACACAATATCTACGATTTACTTTTATAACTTTCTCCTCTCCAAATTTCCTAGCATCTCGTTCACAATATGTACAGGTATTTCAAAACTATGAGTTTTTACAAAAAGAATTATTGTCTTAATTTTACATTCTGAATATATTACTATGTTGTAAGCATCCAGGGAGTAATGTACAATGTTTTACTTCATGATTTTGCAATGACTGTCATGGCCAGGATCTGGCAGCCATTGTGAGGCAAGTGGCGAATTTCCTGGGGAAGGAGGTGGACGAGGAGCAGGTGGCCTGGCTGACGAATCACTGCTCCTTCTCAGAGATGAAAAACAACCCGGCAACCAACAATGCCACCTACCTCACTCCACCCACAGAAGAATCCAAAAAAATAAAGTTCATGCGGAACGGCAAGGTAACTATTGTTGAGGAGTACAGTCTTGACACTGAGCTAGCTGATCTTGACACTGAGCTAGCTGATCTTGACACTGAGCAAGCTAATCTTGACACTGAGCTGGTTTATCATGAAACTCAGCTATTTGATCTTCACACTGAGCTCGCTGATCTTGACACTGATCTAGCTGATCTTGACACTGAGCAAGCTGATCTTGACACTGAGCAAGCTAATCTTGACACTGAGCTAGCTGATCTTGACACTGAGCAAGCTGATCTTGACACTGAGCGGGCTAAAAAAAATCATGAAACTGAGCTATCTGATCTTGACGCTGAGCTAGTTCATCCTGACAATGAGTTGATCCTTACACTGAGTTAGCTGATCTTGACACTGAGATAGCTGATCTTGACATTGAGATAGCTGATCATGACATTGAGTTAGCTGATCTTGACACAGAGATCGCTGATCTTGACACTGAGCTAGCTGATCTTGACACTGAGATAGCTGATCTTGACACAGAGATAGCTGATCTTGACACTGAGCTAGCTGATCTTGACACTGAGCTAGTTGATCTTGACACTGAGCTACCTGAAATTGACACTGAGCTACCTGAAATTGACACTGAGCTAGTTGATCTTAAGAAATAAGAACATAATGTAACTGCAGAAGGCCCATTGGCCCATGCCAGGCAGCTCCTATTTATAACCACCCAATCCCACTTATATACGTGTCCAACCCACATTGCCGGGTCAAACTTTCCACAGCCCTTAGACCCTACCTGGTGACAGAGCACCAGGTAGCTGGTCCATTCCTGCCCCTCTACCGTTATTCCTTCTGTTTACATCACATAAATCTTTGTCGTACGGCAGCTTAATATTGCAAGTGGTGGCCAGGTCACCCCTGGACCCCCACCCCAGTACCTAACGCTCAGCCACACACCCCACCACTCTTGGAAGTTAAGGCGGCGACATACGTGTGAAATAAGCAATGGAAGGCCTAATTTTTGGCATAAATATTCTTTTGATGGCGGACTGCTAAGTCAGGTTGAACGCCCCCTCAGACTCTCACAGTGTAAACATATGCTCATGTTCAGTCTTCTGGGCTCCTTAGCTTCCCCTGAGTCCCTTCATACCCTTCCCCACGCCCCAAGGGTTATGCAGTTGGTGCGAAAAGTGGCTAAATACTCACCCAACTGTGGGAAAACACTTCATTAATGAAGAATCGCCTGACATATCCTGCATCGACCACAACATTCTTGACATTGAGCTGACTAAATCATGAAACTGATCTATCTGATCTTGACACTGAGCTAGCTGATCTTGACACTGAGCTGAACCTCACACTGAGTTAGCTGATCTTGACACTGCCAGTCGATTTTGACACAGAGTTAGCTCATCATGACACTGAGTAAGCTGGTCATGACTCTGATTTTGCTGATCGTGACACTGAGCTTGCTGACCATGACACTGAGCTAACTGATCATGACACTGAGCTAGCTGATCTTGACACTGAGCTAGCTGATCTTGACACTGAGCTGAACCTCACACTGAGTTAGCTGATCTTGAGACTGCCAGTCGATTTTGACACAGAGTTAGTTCATCATGACCCTGAGTAAGCTGGTCATGAACCTGATTTTGCTTATCATGACACTGAGTAAGCTGATCCTCCCACTGTTTTAGCGGATCTTGACACTGTGCCAGTCGATCTTGACACATAATTAGCTTATCATGACACTGAGCTAGCTGATCTTGACACTGAGCTAGCTGATCTTGACACTGAGCTCGCTGATCTTGACACAGACCTAGCTGATCTTGACACTGAGCAAGCTAATCTTGACACTGAGCTGGCTAATCATGAAAATCAGCTATTTGATCTTGACACTGAGCTCGCTGATCTTGACACTGAGCTCGCTGATCTTGACACTGAGCTAGCTGATCTTGACACTGAGCTAGCTGATCTTGACACTGAGCGGGCTAAAAAAAAATCATGAAACTGAGCTATCTGATCTTGACGCTGAGCTAGTTCATCCTGACAATGAGTTGATCCTTACACTGAGTTAGCTGATCTTGACACTGTGCCAGCTGATCTTGACACTGAGTTAGCTGATCATGACACTGAGCTAGCTGATCATGACCCTGATTTTGCTGATCTTGGCATTGAGCGTGCTGATCTTGGCACTGAATTAGCTGATCACGACACTTAATTAGCTGATCTTGACACTGACCTAACTGAATTTTACACTGAGTTGGCTGACCTTGACACTGAGCTAGCTGATCTTGACACTGTGTTAGCAGATCTTGATACTGAGCTAATTGATCATGGCACTAAGCTAGCTGATCTTAACACTGAGCTTGCTTATCTTGACACTGAGCTAGCTGATCTTGACACTAAGCTAGTTGATCTTGACACTGAGCTGGTTGATCATTTCACTAAGGTAGCTGATCTTGACACTGAGCTTGCTGATCGTGACACTGAGTTAGCTGATCTTGACACTGAACCAGCTGATCATGACTGATTTTGCTTATCTTGTAACTGAGCTAGCTGATCTTGACACTGAGCTAGCTGATCTTGACACGTAGTTAGCTGATCATGACAATGAGCTAGCCCATCCTGACACTTAGTTTGCTGATAATTACACTGAGCTAGCTCATTATGACAATGAGCTAGCTGATCTTGACACTGAACTCGCTGATCTTGGCACTGAATTAGTTGATCATGACATTGAGTTAGCTGATCTTGACACAGAGATCGCTGATCTTGACACTGAGCTAGCTGATCTTGACACTGAGATAGCTGATCTTGACACAGAGATAGCTGATCTTGACACTGAGCTAGCTGATCTTGACACTGAGCTAGTTGATCTTGACACTGAGCTACCTGAAATTGACACTGAGCTACCTGAAATTGACACTGAGCTAGTTGATCTTAAGAAATAAGAACATAATGTAACTGCAGAAGGCCCATTGGCCCATGCCAGGCAGCTCCTATTTATAACCACCCAATCCCACTTATATACGTGTCCAACCCACATTGCCGGGTCAAACTTTCCACAGCCCTTAGACCCTACCTGGTGACAGAGCACCAGGTAGCTGGTCCATTCCTGCCCCTCTACCGTTATTCCTTCTGTTTACATCACATAAATCTTTGTCGTACGGCAGCATAATATTGCAAGTGGTGGCCAGGTCACCCCTGGACCCCCACCCCAGTACCCAACGCTCAGCCACACACCCCACCACTCTTGGAAGTTAAGGCGGCGACATACGTGAGAAATAAGCAATGGAAGGCCTAATTTTTGGCATAAATATACTTTTGATGGCGGACTGCTAAGTCAGGTTGAACGCCCCCTCAGACTCTCACAGTGTAAACATATGCTCATGTTCAGTCTTCTGGGCCCCTTAGCTTCCCCTGAGTCCCCTCATACCCTTCCCCACGCCCCAAGGGTTATGCAGTTGGTGCGAAAAGTGGCTAAATACTCACCCAACTGTGGCAAAACACTTCATTAATGAAGAATCGCCTGACATATCCTGCATCGACCACAACATTCTTGACATTGAGCTGACTAAATCATGAAACTGATCTATCTGATCTTGACACTGAGCTAGCTGATCTTGACACTGAGCTAGCTGATCTTGACACTGAGTTAGCTGATCTTGACACTGCCAGTCGATTTTGACACAGAGTTAGCTGATCATGACACTGAGCTAGCTGGTCATGACCCTGATTTTGCTTATCTTGACACTGAGTTAGCTGATCCTCCCACTGTTTTAGTTGATCTTGACACTGTGCCAGCCGATCTTAACACATAATTAGCTGATCATGACACTGAGCTAGCTGTTCTTGACACTGAGCTAGCTGATCATGACACTGAGCTAGCTGATCTTGACACTGAGCTAGCTGATCATGACACTGAGCTTGCTGATCATGACACTGAGCTAGCTGATCATGACACTGAGCTAGCTGATCTTGACACTGAGCTTGCTGATCATGACACTGAGCTAGCTGATCATGACACTGAGCTAGCTGATCTTGACACTGAGCTAGCTGATCATGACACTGAGCTAGCTGATCTTCACACTGAGCCAGCTGATCTTGACACTGAGCTTGCTGATCATGACACTGAGCTAGCTGATCATGACACTGAGCTAGCTGATCTTGACACTGAGCTAGCTGATCATGACACTGAGCTAGCTGATCTTCACACTGAGCCAGCTGATCTTGACACTGAGTGTGGGAAAATCCTAGCAGTTTTTCATTCTTTTATTCTATTTTTTATTCAGATATTTACTTTAATTTATTTTTTCAGTTGACTTTAATATTATTATATTTTTCTTCTAAGTTAGTTCTTAGTTAGTTAGTGGACTGTATATATTTTAATTCACCTGCTAGAATTTTTCACACACATTTGAGGGGACAATTTGTAGCTTTGACCACTTGGAGGTGGCTCCTTCATAATCCACAAATTGCTTACCAAGTCTTTAATATATAAATTTTAAATCACACCACATATGGTGGTCTAATCTACTCTTATACTTAAAGTTAACCTATCTACAGTATAAAACACAAAAGGGCCTTATCTAATACTGTAGTTGTAGCCTGCAAAGGCTGTGTAATGGTAGCATCACATTGGGATGTGGCCCTGTGCCTCAGAGTGCCACGTAATGGCGACTATCTGGAGGCCTGCAAGGCTTGATGTACAGCAAGGTAACAAATTTCTATAATTATGTTGGGACCCAGCTGTCTGCTTCAGTAACTTCCCCTCACAATTTCCTGTTTAGGATGTTTAACATAACACTTTTACATTAGTAAAAGCACACCAACATATTAAGGCACAGGTATGACACGAATAAGAGGGAAGTATAATGTTGAGTACGTACTCGGTTGAGCTTTAAAGCTATCTCCATAACGGGCTACCTAACTAATATTACTTAAGTGCAAATATTAATAAAAGTTATAAGGCAGTCGGATACTCCAGTGTTCCAGTTGTGTGGTAAAGGTGTTGCTGTTGTAGCTCTCTTGGGATA